GTATAATGTAGGTTCTATTTTCTCAAATATTTTAAGGCTATTTTAATTATTAAATAACGACGACAAAAAATGTAAACAAAATTCTACAGTAAACTTATTAGTGTTTAGGAACAGGTTGAGAAAATAAAAATTAATTTTAATTAAGTATTGGTGTTCAATAGTTAGATTCTATTTTCTCATAAATCTAGTTTCTCATTATTCACAAAGATTTTCTGCAGATGAATTATTATTGAAAAGACGGCAATGAAAGAATTTAAAGAAATCTGCGAAGAAATTCAAAGAAAATAAGATGAAAATATGATGAAACGAAATAATTGATTCTAGCATTGGCAAATTTCTTTTGAGAAATATGTTCCTAACCATCTAACTAGATTACTGCATAGTTTTTACTTAATTTTTCGTCGTCGTTATTTAGTAATTTAAAAAAAAATTCTGAAAACGTATCCACCCAAAAGTACGATTTTGAACATTGACTTTACGCTCAAACTCAGGATTTACAGATCTTTAAAAAGTGTTATATGTCTAAAATGAATCCTAAAGAATTTGTCAACAACACTGCATACTCAGTTCAACAACCTTACATAGCCTTTAAACTCGTATTTTTATATCTTTAAAATATTTTTTGTTTCTTGGTTTTGGTATTTTTGTTTATTTGTATCTTTTAAAATCTATTTTACATTTTTGTATTGCAGTATTTTTTCATCTCGATTACTGCGGTTCATGTAAAGGTTTAATGAACCCAACTGTAAGTCTGACCCCCCTACAATTCTGGAATACTCAAGTTATGATTTTATATATTCCAATAAACATAAATAAACACAGCCATTGTTAAATGTACAATTAACCATTTCACTAAAAAGTTTGAATTTAAGTACTAAACTAGAAACTATTCTTATGGCAACATTCCAATGCAGAGAATAAATATATCAAATTTTACTTAAAATTGCAATCATGCATGCAGATTTAACGGGCCCACCATCTCATCCGCTTAAACATTTATGTAATTTTATTTTCTAAACCCCCCCCCCCCCCAACCAATTTCTTTATAATTGCAGACGTTATTATTTGTTAATCTCCGTTAATTAACATAATCAAAAATGAAAATAAAATAAAGAGAAAGTTGTACTTGAAAAGATATTGCGCAACATATCTTATTATAGATATGTAATCACTTATACAATACTAGGTTATTAGGGCGCTTCGCGCCCATCTTGTAATTCAAAGAAAAAAAACGAAGATTCCCCTTCTGAATACTAATGAGCATTGTTTTGAGGTCCATTTTCAATTTTATAAGGTTCATGAATTTTTAAACGGCTCCACAAGAATATGAGATGTTTATTCTAGTTCAAAATTATATGCCTCATAAATTATTTTTTACTTTGTGCAAACTCTTTACTCTGACCAGAGATATCCACCAAAAATATTTATTTTTAATCGTTGGTAAAATCGTTTTGGTAACTTGTTTTGAAAAATCAATTTGTTTAATATCTCTCGTTAGTAAGGTCAAAATTGTAATAAAGCAAACTTATCGAAAATCTGATTTTACTGTCCCTCAAACATCTCAGATTCTTTCAGAGCACATTTAAAGGGACTGTAAAGGAAAATGTAAGGAGGCCTAAGCGTTTCAGGAGTTGAACGAGACCCATAAAAGTTCTATCTGATGTTCCTTTCCCGAGAAATTGATATAAAACTGTGTCAAATTAATACGAAAATTCATATATAGGTAATTTTTTGAAATAGTACAGATCATTTTCAGCAAATACGCAACAAATCTGAAAACAACGACATCCCAGAGGAGCCTGAAAAACATAGGTTTGCTCCTATTGTTTTTTGAATTTCATAATTTTTCATTTTTAATAGAAATAATTGATACGTCCGTATTACGTGACCAGAACTCCCACCAATGACATTGCAGTATCATTGTCACGTGTATCCGTCTGTGTCACGTGACTATGGTATCTGCATTTTCAAGCTAAAAAAACGACGATATCTTCCACATGATTGATAGAATAAGATTTAAAAAAGGAGAAACACTTGATATTTCAAAAACAGTCCCGTAAAGAGTACTTGAAATTGAAAAATTGAATATTATATTTTTGTACTTGTAATGTATTGTATCTACATGCTGTAAAAACTGTTTATTATTTTCGATAAACTTAATGTTTCCTGAATGAAGCAATCAAAGGTTAGATTCAAGATTGGTGATTGGGTTTAGTTTTGTTCAGTGCAAAAAGTGGGGAACTATACGCCATTTCTAGCTTTTACAAGGTGGGTAGGGGGGGGGGGGTGTCGGTACCCCTAAAAGATTCGAATACGAAAATTTACAAGACAAAAACGTTTCAAACAGAGAAAAATAGCGACAAATATGTGATATGTAGATATACACCCCTGAAGTGTATAGTATATGTAATATTGTAGTATGTAGAGTAAATATACCCCTGAAGTGTATAGTATATGTAATATGGTAATATGTAGATATACCCCTGAAGTGTATAGTATATATGTTATATTGTAATATGTAGATATACCCCTAAAGTGTACAGTAAATGTAATATTGTAATATGTAGATATACCCCTGAAGTGTATAGTATATATGTATAATATATACCCCTGAAGTGTATAGTATATATGTACAATATATACCCCTGAAGTGTATAGTATATATGTACAATATATACCCCTGAAGTGTATAGTATATATGTACATTATATACCCCTGAAGTGTATAGTATATATTTACAACATATACCCCTGAAGTATAGTATATATGTATAATATATACCCCTGAAGTGTATAGTATATATGTACAATATATACCCATGAAGTGTATAGTATATATGTATAATATATACCCCTGAAGTGTATAGTAAATATGTACAATATATACCCCTGCAGCTTCTGAAGATTCTGCAGTTCATCTTTAAGATATAAACGCCCTCTACACAAAACAAAACTAGACAAAAAAAAAACTGCGAAGGGAAGATATAAAATAATATCTAAAATTTATATTTTTTGTGTTTCAACTCAGAATGTTAGCTACCAACTCATTAGAATCAGTAATTAAACTTATAAGATGTTTTGATATTTTTAGCATTTTCGTTTTTGTTTGTTGCCCTCTCAGTTTAGAGCGGATATATCTAATTACTATTCACGAGTTCGTTTTCGAGAACATTGCTGTTTAGATCTTAGTATTGATAACATCTTCGTTCTTGATTTAATCTACTCCTAGATAATACCATCTCCGTTCTATTCAATCTACTCCTAGATAATGCCATCTCAGTTCTATTCAATCTACTCCTAGATAATGCCATCTCCGTTTTATTCAATCTACTCCTAGATAATACCATCTCCGTTCTATTCAATCTACTCCTTGATGATAATACCATCTCCGTTCTATTCAATCTACTCCTAGATAATACCATCTCCGTTCTATTCAATCTACTCCCAGATAATACCATTTCCGTTATATTCAATATACTCTTAGATAATACCATCACAGTTCTATTCAATCTACTCCTAGATAATACCATCTTCGTTCTTGATTCAAACTACTCCTAGATAATACCATCTCCGTTCTATTCAATCTACTCTTAGATATTATCATCTCCGTTCTATTCAATCTACTCCTAGATAATACCATCTCCGTTCTATTCAATCTACTACTAGATAATGCCATCTCCGTTTTATTCAATCTACTCCTAGATAATGCCATCTCCGTTCTATTCAATCTACTCCTAGATAATACCATCTCTCTTCTATTAAATCTATTCTTAAATAATACCATCTCCGTTCTTTTCAATCTACTCCTAGATAATACCATCTTCGGTCTATTCAATCACTTTTGTAGAGAAACTACGAATGAAAAAAACAGTTTTTAAAAACCAAAAACATGAACACCCAATTCTTACTTGATCAGACAAAGCTTTTAAGGGTACCGCGTAGTGAATTGAACATGCAAGTTTAGCAATAGAGGATCACTTCAGATTACGTTTATGACCCTTTGATTAACTTATAGATTAAACGATTGGACCGAGTTTTGTTGATGAGACCTCGGAAAATGGAAAGAAAATCCATGAAAAGTAAAATATATGATCCTGCACGAGAAAAATTTTTACAAATAAGGCTGAAATTTCTTAGAAAAAAATATTCCAAAAAGATAAACTGATAAAAAAGGTAACAGATTTGAATAGAAGGATGCAAAGTGCATTAAAAGTCTATTTTTTTATTTTAAAAGTTTTACAAGCTTTCCTGTAAATACTTTATAGACAAGGTTTAGATTTCTTAAAGGGACTGTAAGCTTAATTTCAAGTTACCCTTCATGCAAATATGGTAATATTATATTTACAAGGGTTCCCTTTAAACCTGAATATGATCAAAATGTGGAGAATACTGTCGTAAACCTGACTCGAAAAGTGTTCAATTATGATAATTTCTCCATTGCTATAAGCAATTCATACTTGATCAGACAAAGCTTTTAATGGTACGTTGTAAATTGGGCTTTGCCATCTTTGCACGGATGGTCACATGAAATTACGCTTACAGTCCCTGTAAAAAATAAATCTGGAGCTATAAACAAGGTTAAAATAAATAAATCAAAATGAATGATGGGTTGGAGTTTAATTGAGCATTTACTCTCTTTTGTGTTCAGAACTTTAGAGATTTGCTTTTGTGAAAATAAAATTTCATGAATTAAAGAATTTTCCTTTTATATCATTGTTCAATATTTTCATTCATACAAAACTTATAATTAATTTTTTTACTTCTAATAATTACATTTTTTTTAAAGAAAGAAGTTGAGTCTTTACAACCAACTGAAATTGTCTAATCCCTATAAATTTGCAAACTGATTGTGTAAACATTTGATATTTCAATCTTAAATTATTTTATCAAACAGAGTTCACAGTTTGGAATATATCTAAGGTCTACAACATTGCTATGATATAAGGAACAGAAAATCAAAGTTTGTGACAAAAACTTAATTATTTCATTAGTTTCAGATATCTGATTGAAATTAGAAAATGAAAATGCTGCAGTGGCTGCTAGGTTAAGATTGCTAAATATTAAACAGAATTTTATCAACAATTATCATGAGTAAAAAAAATCCCATAAGCTTTCTAGACTTGTGCCCTTAGTTTATTCTAGATTGAGTATCCTTAAAATAATTATTGCTTCAAGAAAATGAAAAAAATTGTGACTTATGATCGATATACTTTCGGAGAAAAAATAATCAAATTTAGGTTTTCGAAGTTTTGAGTCCAATCGGAAATTAAATTGAATTTTCTTTTGAACTCAATATTTAGGATCGAATATGATGTAAATGAGGAATAATACAGAGTTACTCACAAAGAATGAAACTTCAAGACGACTTAGCAAAATGTAACTTTAACCATGATAGTATACATTTTCCCCTAACCAAATCATTTAATATACCATATAGCCTTCAAATCATATGATATACAATATAGCCTTCAAATCATTTAATATACCATATAGCCTTCAAATCATTCAACATACCATATAGCCTTCAAATCATTCAATATACCATATAAACTTCAAATCATTCAACATACCATATAGCCTTCAAATCATTCAATATACCATATAGCCTTCAAATCATTTAATATACCATATAGCCTTCAAATCATTTAATATACCATATAGCCTTCAAATCATTTAATATACCATATAGCCTTTAAATCATTTAATATACCATATAGCCTTCAAATCATTTAATATACCATATAGCCTTTAAATCATTTAATATACCATTAAACCTTCAAATCATTAAATATACCATATAGCTTTCAAATAATTTAATATACCATATAGCCTTCAAATCATTTAATATACCATATAGCCTTTACATCATTTAATATACCATTAAGCCTTCAAATCATTAAATATACCATATAGCTTTCAAATAATTTAATATACCATATAGCCTTCAAATCATTTAATATATCATATAGGCTTCCAATCATTTAATATACCATATGGCCTTCAAATCATTAAATATACAACATAGCCTTCAAATCGTTTAATATACCATATAGGCTTCAAATCATTTAATATACCATATAGGCTTCAAATCATTCAATATACCATATAGCCTTCAAATCGTTTAATATACCATATAGCCATCAAATCATACCATATACCATATAGCCTTTAAATCATTTAATTTACCATATAAACTTCAAATCATTTAGTATACCATTAAGCCTTCAAATTAATATACCATATAGGCTTCAAATCATGTAATATACCACATAGCCTTGAAATCATTCAATATACCACATAGCCTTCAAATCGTTTAATATACCACATAGGCTTCAAATCATACCATATACCATATAGCCTTCAAATCATTTAATATACCATATAGACTTCAAATCATTTAATATACCATATAGCCTTCAAATCATTCAATATACCATATAGCCTTCAAATCGTTTAATATACCATATAGCCATCAAATCATACCATATACCATATAGCCTTTAAATCATTTAATTTACCATATAAACTTCAAATCATTTAGTATACCATTAAGCCTTCAAATCATACCATATACCATATAGCCTTCAAATCATTCAATATACCATATAGCCTTCATATACAATATAGCCTTCAAATCATTTAATATATCATATAGGCTTCAAATCATTTAATATACCATATGGCCTTCAAATCATTCAATATACCACATAGCTTTCAAATCGTTTAATATACCATATAGGCTTCAAATCATTTAATATACCAATAGGCTTCAAATCATGTAATATACCACATAGCCTTGAAATCATTCAATATACCACATTGCCTTCAAATTGTTTAATATACCATATAGGCTTCAAATTATCTAATATACCACATAGCCTTGAAGTCATTCAATATACCACATAGCCCTCAAATCGTTTAATATACCATATAGGCTTCAAATCATCTAATATACCACATAGCCTTCAAATCGTTACATTTAAAATGTTTCAGGTCGTCGTTAAAATCTCAACCTTTGTGGGTAAAACTGTACAAAATGACCGAAAAAAAAACCTAATTTATTAGCATTCTATACAGTGCTGGTGGTAGCACATACTGCAAAGGCTCAGGAGGCAGACAGCTTTGGTAGATATGATTACGACAGGTCAATATCAGGGGGTTTTATGGGGTCGGGTAGATATGTGTACTGTGTAGGAGAGCTCAGAGCCCGAAATTTAAAGAGCATCGTTGAATGAAACTCCCGAGTTTCAATTTCGGGGTCTTAACATTTAAGTAGATATTTTAATTTAAGAGATTCGAAAAAAGGAGAATATAAAGAAACTAAATAACATAATATTTCATAATAATATTGATATTTACAGAACTGTCTAACCCCTTTCGTGAAACCCGGGTTTCAAAACTGGTTTTTATAACGATACCTTGTCTTAAGTTTTGGGTTCAGGGGTTAAGTAGGATAGGTGAATATCAGAGGGTCTCAGCTGACAGTATTTTAATAAAGATAACACTCTGGATTTTGTAATTTGTAACTCAGAACATTTATATATATTTATAAGTATATATAAAGTATATATATACAGGGTGTCCCACGAAACATGACAATAGCAAGACGACTTGAAAGTCGTCTTTGATATTTGAATTTATTTGTGACATTTAGTCTTCTATCTACTTTAACATGTATGATTCTTGAAACAATTATCACATAATTCTCCTAGCCCTGGCATTTCCAAAAAGTGGTCTGCGTTTTTTGTGCTTTCAATATAACCGGAGATGCAAAGAGTTTGGTTCAGATTTCAATTTTGTCAAATAAAAGCAAAATTGTCGAAATCTGAACGAAATTCTTCATATCTCGGGCAATATTGAAAGCACAAAAAAGGCAGACCACTTTTTGGAAATGGCAGGACTAGGGGAATTTTGTGATAATTATCTCTAAAAATTTACTTCTAAAATTAGGTCGACAAATAAACGCAGCAAATTATATCAAAAATCAAGACGACATTCAAGTCGTCTTGCATACTGTCATGTTTCGTGGGACACCCTGTATATATATGTATATATAGTATTTTCTATTTTTTTCCGTTTAAATATACATTTTAGATGTTTAAATATATATTTTCCAATACAAAATGTTTAATGGATCTGATCCGATCATAATTTGGAATAAACTCTATATATATATGTAACCCGGACATAAACTACAATTACAAATCCAAACTACTAAATCTTTTTTGACATTCCTGATTAAAACATAAGGAAGACGACAACAGTTCCACTTTACATTGGAAGACGTTTGATCTTCCATAGATATAAAGTATACTATTAGCTGTTTGTCTGTTTGTTTTTATGTCCGAACATAATTCCGGAAACTCTTGCAGACATATTTGTATCAAATTTGGATACTCAGTAGAACCACGGGAACGACTTTAACAGTATACTCAGTAGAACCAAGGGAACGACTTTAACAGTATACTCAGTAGAACCAAGGGAACGACTTTAACAGTATACTCAGTAGAACCAAGGGAACGACTTTAACAGGAAAACTTAATTTCCCGGCCAACGTGTGTTCCCAAGCTAATTCAAAATTACCCTTTCAAAATGATTAGGTCTACCATTCACCAATAAATGCCGCAATACATTTTTAAAAGGCTGTTTCTAGTAACAATTTAAACTTAAAAGTTTTAAATCTTACTTTTTAAGCGGTCATTTCTTTCTCGTACTTCAAAACTGAACCGAAATTTTGCTTTTTTTTGTTAGCATTGATGGATTTCCAAAAATGTTAAAATTCAACTTTTTCTAGGATTATTTTTTTAATTTCGCCCAGCCATGTCCTGAGTTAAAGAATATATCAAGATCATTTCATTTACCTTTCCTGGGGTTATCTGAGATACCTCAAAAATGGTACATACAAACAAACAAACAAAACAATTATACGAAAAGACGACAACTTTGCTTATTTTCAGATAGGGATACCTAGTATACAGATACTGTTTATGTTCAGATATGGATACCGAATATATAGATACTGTTTTGGTTCTGCTCCAGACAGCTCTAAAGGTTCATCTACACCTACAGCTTAAAGCAGTTCCCTACAGAAGCAGCATTCTACAGTTCTGCTCCTGACAGCTCTAAAGGTTCATCTACACCTACAGCTTAAAGCAGTTCCCTACAGAAGCAGCATTCTACGGTTCTGCTCGAGACTGCTCCCTGTTCTGAAGACTCATCAATTCCAGCAGTTGAGAAGCTCCCTAAATCCCCCCACAGAAAGTAAAAACGCTCCTATATATTCCGTAACAAGTTTTAACCAATAAACATTTTTCAACCCCCACCATGTTTCATTTAGTTAGGCCTAAGGTTTAACAGTTCAGATATGGATACCGAGTGTATAGATACTGTTCATGTTCAGATATGGATACCGAGTGTATAGATACTGTTTATGTTCAGATATGAATACCTAGTGTATAGATACTGTTTATGTTCAGATATGGATACCGAGTGTATAGATACTGTTTTGACCGGTATGCCCGACCTGAGAACCAGTGTAAGTCAGGGTACGGACGAGGAGTAGGGTATCCCAGCAGTTACTATAATGATCCGTACATCAATAGATATGACGACTTCTCTGGCAGGTAAATCAAATAGTTGTAGGTGATTATATCAATTCAATGAAGACGACTTTTGATTTCAATTTTTATTTCAGTTAAGCTTTTAAACTTCATGGATACACATAAACATAGAAGTCAAGAGAAGCTGTCTATTGGTTACTTGTAAACTTGTAATTCGAAAAAAAGCTTGTTAATATTGTTATTGTATTAATATAATCGCCTACCATCATATATTCAATCTTAAAGGAACTGTCGACGTTTTTCAAGTTTAACTCCAACCCTGATTTACAACGGCATCCTTTAAACCTTTATCTGAGTAACATTGTTCTTGCAAATTAGCACCGTTGAAAATTGATAATTTTCAGCAGTTGTTTCTCCATTAAGGCAACCGGTGAATTTGTGAAACAAACTTAAAGATGGAATTGTCAGAAGTCAACACAGTTAAAAATTGTTTTCAGAGTTAAATATAAGGATATCTCATTCATTCTTACTCTGAACAATTTTTATTTGGAACCGTTGTGAATTGGACATGAATTGTTTTTCAATTTAAGGAGGGGCACTTGAAATAACATTTACAGTCTCTGCACAAAAGAAAATTTATTTTAGAAAAGATCTAAAAAATCTTATTTTTGTGGCAGAAGCATAAGTAAATAAAATTAAAACCGAGTTCCCCCATCAGGGAAAATGTTGACATGAAAATAATTGGTTAAAACTTTTAGAAACAATGCCAACACTGGGACAGGCACAGGGTATTATACATTTTTATACATAAACCATATTTATTTTATAGCTGTTGCTGAAAAATTTAGTCTTTTGATAATTTTTTTTCTAGTCCGCTAGATATTCAGAGCAAAGAGTGGCAATTATGACGAAAAATATTAAAACCTTGTATTTTTGTGGAACATCTTTTAAATTTTTAAAATAATTTTTCTATGATCATAATTTCTTGGAACGCATTTTAGATTGAAATTCTTCAGAAGAGATTGTAACAAATAAAACGTGATGGATAACTAAATATCTATTATTTCTATCTCATGCAAGAGAATTTGATTTTAACCGTTTTCCACAGATCTTAAAATGTGGCGGGAACTAGTTTCTCGATGATTGAGCTGCATAACTGACCACGAAGCCTACTTATGGTCAAGAATATATGGAACCAAGGTTATAATACAAGGAAAGGTGTTTCAAAGGTGTACACATCTTTTGTACTGCAGCGTACTGTCTCTGAGCGGTAATGTAAATACAAGACGGATGTCACAGCCTGTCAAGGGATACTAGAAGAACATTGAAACATCTATTCTTGTTTACAAATTCCGCCCAGAGAGAATTGGTTTCAATATGTACGCAGAGTATACGCAACTGCAATTAACTTTCCTTGCATTATAACCTTGTATATAACTAAGGAGAGGGGGATAGAGTTTGTTTACATTGAACTTTAATTTATTAGGACAGCTCTAAAACAGCTGTAGAACTAGTAGAATATAATAGTAAACAATTATTGCTGAAGCCCGGCCATTTTGCTATGCTCTACTTTGTTGTCTTTGCCACAAACTCAAATGGTTGAATACTATATCTTTGCATACTGATGGTGAACACCTTTAATATTTCAAACTTAGACTATTTGATTGAATATTATTCATAGTTTGAAATATCTGAAGTCAATGAAAGAAAGTTGCAAAGATATTGGAATTAGAAAATCAAAGTTTGTGACAAAGACTCAATTCTTTTTCTATTGTTTCGAAAAAAACAAGTTCCTGAGCTGAACTTATGCGTCATAGTTGTTAATTGTAAACAATCACCCTTTCCTTATTTCACTCACATTGCCTAAATTAGGATCCGTGGAAACCGGTTTATTTTAAGTTCTCTTTATGCAGAGAAACAGCGAAAGAAAAAAGTAGTAAATATTTTTTTATTCAAAACACTCTTTATTTTTTATTTTTTAAACCGCTTTCTCTAAAGGATTCATTAATCTAACTTTTTCCCCTAATTATAATAGTAAAAGTAACTCTCTTCCTATTAAATTAATCGATTTATTTTTATTTTGTTTATCCTGTTTTTTGTAATGGCAACGTGATGGTTTATAAATATTCAGCCAAAAAAATAAATAATTTTTCACAATTTTAGAAGCAACGCAAACAGCGGAACTGGGAATGGGTAGAGTATAATATTTATTTTAAATGCATGATTTTTTATTGTTAGTATAACTAAACTAAAAGATAGGATATTTACTTAGTTTTGAAAATATTGAAACTAAGAGATAGGATATTTTCTTAGTTTTGTAAATATTGAAACTAACCGATATTTTCTTAGTTTTCAAAGTATTGAAACTAAAAGTTTGGTATTTTCTTAGTTTTTTAAAGTAGTGAAACTAAAAATAGGATATTTTCTTGGTTTTGAAAATATTGAGAGTTGAAAATAGAATATTTTCTTAGTTCTTGAAAAATTGAAACCTGCAAAAGATATGAAAGTTGAAACTAAAAAAAGTTTTTAATTTTTAAATCAGATTTTTTAGCTCAAAACAAAAAAAAGACGACCGAATCTAAATGTCAAAAAAATCAAATAAAAAGTTTCAGTTTAACAAAAAACAATTGTATATGTTTGTGAAGGCCGAGATAAACCAAGGGTTCTTAAAGTTAATATAATTTCCAGTCGTTTGAACTTTTACAAAAACTTTACAGACAAAATCTTTGACGAGGGAGGGAAGGCATACCGTACCTTTCCTTTTGTCCGGGCCGCAAATGACTTCGCAAATTCCATATTTGGGTGGCGCTCACCTAGAAAATAATCAAAAAAGGATATTCTAAACGCCGGACGAAAAAAACGCTGCGTTCTGGATGAAAAATAAATAATAGCGCTACCAAAGGTTGAGTTTGTGACGGCCATTTGTAGACGATAAACAGGTGCGGTGTGTCTTTCCTCCCTCGTTTTACAGATCTGCTTTACAAGAACACAACAAAACTAATTTTACAAATCTTTATCCAATTCCGCCAGCCTCCATAATTGTTTCTTTTTGATAAAATTATTCGACCAAAAAGTTCTTTATGTTACATGAAAAAAACTATTATACCTTATTGTAATGCCACTAATAATAATACTAAAATAGTCGAGTATAGTTATAAAACTACATTTTTTACAACTGTAAAATTGTGTATATGTGTGTTTATTCCATATAATACAATAAATGGAATTAATATATTACATGTATCTACTTATTAAATCTTTATTTATTCGGATATGCATCATATACTTTTATAGGTGTTAACAATTTATTCAATTATTCATAATACAATGAGGACGACTTTTCTTTTTTAAGTTTTGATTTCTAAGAAGATTTTTAAAAATTACAAGTTAAAAAGTAGGCAAAGAGAACATGTTTAACGGCTGTTCCTCTTTGTTTGTATTTTCTACGCATCTAGCTGCTTGAAAGCTTGGTAGAAAAATTGAAATAGAAAGTCGTCTTCAATGTCCTGATATATACACTGAAGTCCAAGATGTTCACGCTCTGACGCAAAATTCGAGCAGTACTTAAGTTAGAAACAAGCGTACTGCAATTTAAATGTTCAAAAACTCACCATTAAACGAGAAGAAATGGCTTTCAAAGTTAAGGCTTACTGAATATTAACGAGGACTCATAATCTACCGTATTTACCATAGAAGTTTACTTGAAGTACGAGAATCTAAATACATCAGAGATTTTATGACTGAACTCAGAGAAATGAACAGAAAAAAATAGTTTTATTTAATTGTTAGCTGTAATTCAGTATGTTTTTAAAAAAGAGTTTTTTTTTATGCACTATGTATAGTATATAACATGTACTCCTAGGTTTCGAGATAACAACTACTATGGGAGTACTGGCAGTATAGTATATAACATGTACTCCTAGGTTTCGAGATAACGACTACTATGGGAGTACTGGCAGTAGGAATGGAGTATATGCTGGGAAAGGTAAAGTTTAATCATCTTCTGTTAATTTGATATTTTTTATTTTTTAATAGTTTCCACCATCTTGATCCGTTTTATCCTTCTTATGCTATTGTTATTGATGATTATTCTAATCATGATCATGCTTTTAATTCTGTTGATCATTTTGATCATGGTCGGTAATTATGCTCATGATCATGATCATGTTCTAGTTATTGCTCTGATGATCATGTGGATCGTGTTAATGTAATTGTTGATAATCTTTAAACTATTGCTCTTGCTGTTTGTGTTGAGCAAAGAGCATTGCTTATTAGGTTAAAATTTTTGTTTTACTAATCATTACGTTAATGTAAAAAGTTCTACATTTCTATCACATTCTACCTTGTATTAAGAGAATGATAAGATGAAATTGTTCATCCGAATAAAAAATATCATTTTATCAAGGTTCTCTTTTCTAAAAAAATCATAATAACAACTCAATTCTTTTGATCAACTCGAGTGGGACTAAAAATGCAATAGAATTGATAGAAATACGAATCTTATGATTGGTATTATTATCACCTACAATTAAAGAATTAAAAGCTCGATTCACAACGGTACCCATCAAACCTAAAGAAAAGTAAAAAATTCTGACAAATACTCTCTCAACGTCTTTGCTGCAAAATATTTAGAAACCTCGATTGGAAATTATAAAGATTATCTCTATAATTTTAACTCAGACTTAGAATTTTATCAAGTTAGATTTTGCTATAAATTGCATAACCCTCTTCAGTGATTCAGATTCAGTTTAAAAGGATTATTTAGCAAAATTCAATCAATATTTTTTGCGTGAGAGTGTATACGTGTTTATTTTTGGCGATCTCTTTCCATGTATATTAACTATCCCTGTAAAACAGGATTTTCATGTATATTAACTATCCCTGTATATCAAGAGTTCCATGTATATCAACTATACCTGTAAAACTTGAGTTCCATGTATATTAACTATCCCTGTATACCAGGAGTTCCATGTATATTAACTATCCCTGTATATCAAGAGTTCCATGTATATTAACTATCCCTGCATATTAGGAGTTCCATGTATGTTAACTATCCCTGTATAACAGGAGTTCCAAGTATATTAACTATCCCTGCATACCAGGAGTTCCATGTATATTAACTATCCCTGTATATTAGGAAGGTTCCGTGAGTATGGTGCAGATGTGGAACTGATCTGTGAGTTTCCACGTGGAACAAATATAGTTTCAAATATTGTTTGGGAACGCGTTCCAAGCAGCCCTGGAGACAGGTTAGTTAATTTAGCCATTAGGGAAATTTACACCGCAAGAACTGACAATTGTTCAAAACTGAGAATTTTCTCTGAGGAGATTTATAAATCCAAAATTTGTTTTAAAAATTGTCGATACCGCCGCGAAAAATAGTCTCTCCGCACCCCTTAGAAAATATTCCAATTGCGCCTCTGTAAACATATTTAAAGTAAGACGGTTTATTTGTACTTTTGGACACCTTGATTCGGAACTAGGACTGAGCACACTCACACTTTTTAAACTGTTCGTTAAACCGTTCGGTTTGCACTAATAACTAATGTTTTTTTTTTCTCGTTCGTTGATCAATGTATTATTTGTTCACGATTTGGATTTTTTAATGGCGTTAACGGACGATATTTCTAAATTCGTTAACTTTCTTCAACATCAACGGTTGTTTAGTTTTTAAACAAGAGGCATTAAAAGATGTATATTAATACTCCTATCTTTGAACGGGGTAAAATTCTAAAGTAAATACTTATCTTATTAAAAAGAAATTATAAAAATAGTTTCTGTAAATTTCAAATGTTTGTCAACGAAATTGAAATCAACGGAGTCTTCTGTTGATTTTTAAAACTGCCCTTTTTAACATTGACCAGTCCTAGCTAAAACATCTATTTATTATTTATACAGGTTTAGCTCAATCTAGCTCAATCTAGCAGCTCACAAAACACCCGACTACAACGGATACAAATTATACCTTTGCAAAAAGGTGCAAGCAAATAATAAATCAAAAGTTTTTGCACAAGAACCAACAACTATTTGCATTAAGAATTTAAGAAAGAAGTCAAATATCAGATATTTCTTATTTGATCATTTTAACAGACAGAATACAACAGACATCAGACAAAGTTTAACAGACATCAGACAAAGTTTAACAGACATCAGACAAAGTTAAACAGACATCCGACAAAATTAAACAGACATTAGACAAGTTTAACAGACATCAGACAAAGTTTAACAGACATCAGACAAAGTTAAACAGACATCAGACATAATTAAACAGACATCAGACAAAGTTTAACAGACATCAGACAAAGTTAAACAGGCATCAGACAAAATTAAACAGACATCAGACAAAGTTTAACAGACATCAGACTAAGTTTAACAGAAATCGGACAAAGTTTAACAGACATCAGACAAAATTAAACAGACATCAGACAAAGTTTAACAGACATCAGACAAAGTTAAACAGACATCAGACAAAATTAAACAGACATCAGACAAAGTTTAACATGCAGATATCACACAAAGTAGAAAGACATCAGACAAACTACAACAGAAAATACACAAAGTTTAGCAGACATCGGACAAAATTTAACAAACATTTGATAAAGTTTAACAGACATCAATCAAAGTTTAACAGACATAAGTTAACGTTTAGCAGACAGCAAATATTAGAGAAAGTTCAACCGACGTCAGATAAAGTTTAGCAGTCACTAGACAAAGTTAAACAGCATTTAGACAAAGTACACACACCAAGTTTATTAGACATCAGATAATGCTCAATAGACAACAGACAAAGTACAACAGACTTCAAACAGACATTAAATACATTAGAAAAAGTATACGACAGACAATAGAAAAAGCACGATTGGCATCGGACAAAGTTGAACAGCCATCAGAAAAGTTTAACAGACATCAAACAAAGTTTAACAAACATTACACAAAATTAAACAGACATAAGACAAAATTAAACAGACATAAGACAAAGTACGGCAGACATAAAACAAAGTACAAGAGCCTCTACACAAAGTACAAAACCTAAGTTTATTAATTAGACATCAGATTACATGTATACAATATACAAAAGACAAAGTACATTAGACATCAAAAATACATTAGAAATAGTACTCCAGCCTATAAACAAAGCACGGTTAACATATAACAAAGTTTATCATACATCAGACAAAGTACAGAAGACACCAGACATAACAGTAGACATAGTACAAAGTACAGCGGACAAGTTTATTAGACAACAGTAAAAGCAGAATAGACACCAGAGCAGGCACGAGGCAAAGTTAAACAGACATAAGACAAAGATTAAAAAACATCAGACAAAGTTTACCAGATAAACAAGAAAAAGTGTATGAACCAAAGTCTTGTATAATACCAATTTGTAACGATGGGGAAAAGTTGAGAGCTAAGAACAAATGCATGTTTGTGTCCTTTAGAGAGAAGATAAAAGATAAAAAGTAAAGAAACTGAGTGTGTATTGTCTATATTGTACACTGTACGTCTAAAGAGAAAAGATAAAAGATAAAAAGTAAAGAAACCGTGTTTACTGTACACTGCTTTCTCGGCACTCAATTTTCAAATAATATAATATTGATATCTCTGACGTCAAAGATAAAAAATATTTTTTGGTCCAGACTGCGCTATTTTTGATTGATTATATAAGGAGTAATAAAAATTCCACGTAGTCTAATTTAAAAAAATTAACGCTGCGAAAGCATGACAAGAAATTATTTCATTTCCAAAAAATGTTTTATTTATCCCTATGAAAGTGTATCCAAATACGGAGCTAAAAATACTTCAGATATAATTAGTATATTTAGAGAAAGATAGAAAGTTTAGACTTTTAATTTCAAACCCCTCATGTTCATGTGGATATTACATATATTTATATATTTTCTTGTTTTTTGAAACTTCGGTTTGTTGTCGCCTGGCCGGCAAATTTTCTTTCTTTCCTAATATTAGGCATTTTTATCCGACCTTAAAGGGAGTGATCGGCAATTAATGGTGGTTGAACTACTTATGCAGTATTGTGGACCAATTTTTTAGGATTCATTTGAGACATATTAATCAATTATTAAATAACGACGACGAAAAATAAAGTAAAAATTATACAGTAAACTAATTAGATGGTTAGGAAAATATTTTTCAAAGGAAATTTGTCAATAAATTAATGTTAGAATCAATTACTTATTTTTTTTTCATTACGGTAATTAATTTTCTATGAATTTGTTCGCAGATTTCTACAAATTCTTCAAATGTCGTCTTTTCAATTAAAAATCCAGAAAATCTGCAGAAAATCTTTGTGAATAATCAGAGACTATAGAAACTAATAATTGAATAAGATTACTTATTTTCGATGATAAGAGTTAATTTTTATTTTCTCAACCTGTTCCTAAACAACTAATTATGTTAACCTTAAACAATGAGTTCTCCGTTGTAAAGTCGGCTTTGACTAAGATTTTCTCCCAGAGCCGGAACCTAAACCATTTCGAGATCAACTCCTTTCTTTGGTTCAACAAATTAGTTTACTGTAGAATTTTTTTACATTCTTTGTCGTCGTTATTTAATAATTTTTAAAAAATCCTAAAACGTACCCACCCAAATTCATGATTTTTAACATCGACTTTGCGCTCAACCTCTTTAGATATACGCCGTAGAAACCTTTCATATGTCTCAAATGAATCCAACAAAATTTCTCCACAATACATTCATTATACCACCATACATTACCGGTCACTCCCTTTAAACAATCCGTAGGTGTAATTTCAAGTGACTGTCTATTGTAGAGTGGTGTGTCAGATTCCTAATAGAACAAATTTATGAAAACCGCCTTGGACTGTTTGGACATTTGGATATTTTCCGAGGAATACAATATAAGTAACGCCAGCTGTGTTGAGTTTTGCACTGATCCTATTTTCTGGCAATTTGAACACCATTTTAGAGATAGACACACGTCGATGATAAAAGGGTTCTGTTGTAAATTGGACATAATACCTTTGCGTAGAGGGTCACCTAAAATTACGCTTACAGTCCCTTTTAATTAGTTACAACTACTTTACAGGGAAGTTAATGGTATTTTACTTTATCAAGCTGGAATTCCCAAGACCAATTTTGTCCACAAAACATTCCTCGCTGCGCTCTGGATTGGTTGAGGGAACCCGTGAATAAGTAAAATTTTGAATTTCCCGAAAAAGTAGTTGTACACCAGTTTATCGTCTTTTAAAATGAAAATACGCGATTTTTTCCCCGAAAACCTCACAGAGCGGGTGGTTATTTTACATAACTGTCCCAAGGGACGTTAAGTAACCTAACTTCCCTATGTTAGGGGAATAATAGGTCGATAATATTGGTCAAAAGGCGGCAAAATTTTTAACTACCGAATGCATTTGATAAAACGAACATATTGTTCTAAATTACAAACAGAATGTTATGCATAAATCAGAAAGGTTCTATTCTAACATGTTTCAAAAAAAAACTTTCGTTATCTTGATTTGTTTTCGGTAGTTCGACATAATTAACAAAATGTTTGTTATATTGATTTGTTCGAATTATTTTTCGAAAAATTAGGTACTTTCTGACAAGTTGTTTTTTATAAAAAATTGTATAATATTTTTACTAATTTGTCCCCCACTAGGCGGTATCCAGTCTACCAACAGGACTGGATGGGGTCAAGAATGCAGGTGAGACATTTAAATATTTAATAAAAAAGAGACGATATTTTCAATCATAAAATTAATTAAAAATATGTTTGATCAATAGATTAAAACGAACTTGGTTTAAAAAGACTAAGACTAAGTGGGTCCTTTATAACTGTGGAATAGGAAGACGACATTAGAGCAATCCTTTTTTTTGATGTTGTTATAAAGCAAATATTTTCAAAAATTAACTCGAAAATTAACATTTTAAATGATATGGGTCTGTTTGTGTACACATACTGCTCAGTTCACAATTTTTGTATTTTATGTTAATTGGACTTTTAGCAAACATAATTTAAGTCTAACAGTCGTCTTACTAATCTACAGTTTTATTGGTCTCGTTGTTTTGAAAATAAAAAAACGGGCCTCACTGATTAGCTATCAGTATTTGGACTTGTCAAGTTTACACTTTTCATTTTTTCATAAATAGACAAATAAAAATTTCTACATCAACGATTAAAGTTCTGTTCCTGAAAAAGTCATCATTTTTAAATTTTCTTCTGTCAAAGGAATTTACAAAACTTATTTTGATACCTTTCGTGAATTCATTTCTTAAGTTTTGCATAGTTCAGAGTATTTGGGATATTTCTGTCAGCTTAAGTTGAAAACTGTTGTAATTTTACAAAAATCAACTCTCAAATTTGAAATATATTTTAAAAACTAATTCAAAAGATAAAATATAAAAAAGTTGAGAAACCCTGATCGAGCCTGGCATTTGCCGCAGTATTAATTCAATTTACCGTCAGAAAGACTAAACTTTATTTTATATTTCAGTTTGCACTCAGACTAATTATTTATATAGAGTTTCCACACCTTGATAATCTAGGTTCGCAGAATCGGAGATTACGGTTCTAAACTTATCATCAACGGCTGGGATGAAAGGTAGGTTCGCAGAATCGGAGATTACGGTTCTAAACTTATCATCAACGGCTGGGATGAAAGGTAGGTTCGCAGAATCGGAGATTACGGTTCTAAACTTATCATCAACGGCTGGGATGAAAGGTAGGAGTAAGAATAATCCACATCTTATTACAATGAGACTCATAAAACTGTGGAATAAGAAGGCGACAAATATACAATCTTTTATGTATATTATATTGGTTTAAAAGCAATTAAGTATCTTGTAAATTAACTTATTGAGTTAAATTCATTTTTTAAGATTGCACGATTGCTAATGTTGTCTGCTTCCTGTTTCACAATGCTACAGGTTCTACCATAGGATTTTTGGGTTTATGAATATACAAAATAGAAAAATAGAAGAAAACCATGCAGTAAATTATTCGTTATAAAGGTTCAAAAAGAAAATGTTAATAACTAAAAAGAGAAGGTTTGAGTGAAGAAGGTTTATAAGAAAAGGAAGAGATAAGAGTTTTTACAAGCATAGAAGTTTTGCTTAGTAGAAGATGGTTTATAAAGAAGAGAAGAATACGAATAAGGTTTATCAAGAAGAGAAAAAGAAGAATAAGCTGTTTATCAAGAAGAGAAGAATAATAATATGGTTTATCAATTAGAGAAGAATATGGTTTACCAAGAACAGAAGAAGAAGTATTATCAAGAAGAGAAGAAGAAGAATACGATTTATCAAGAAGAGAAGAAAAATGGGGTTTTTCAAGAAGAGAAGAAGAAGAATAAGGTTTATCAAAAAGAGAAGAAGAAGGTTTATCAAGAAGAGAAGAAGAAGGTTTATCAAGAAGAGATGAAGAATATGCTTTATCAAGAAGAGAAGAAAAAGAATATGCTTTATCAAGAAGAGAAGAAGAAGGTATATCAATAAAAGAAGAATAAGGATTATCAAGAAAAGAAGAAGAATAAGGTTTATCAAGAAGAGAAGAAAAAAACTATGGTTTAGCAAGAATACGGTTTATCAAGAAGAGAAGAAGAAAAATAAGGTTTATCAAGAAGAGAAGAAGAAGGCTTATCAAGAAGAGAAGAAGAAGAATAATGTTTATCAAAGAAGAAGTTTTATCTGGACTGAAAGTATGTCCTGACTCCTAGTTAGCTCCGGGATAGTGATAAAACAGAGGCCAAGGAAACATTTTTCACAAACTTTTGCTCACGTCCTCTTTAGATGGTTCGGATTAAACTATACAGATTTATAGAACATGGCTTCAAGACATCTTGAAGATATATACAAAGTTTTACATCTTTTTCTTGTTTCAAGAAATACTAAAATACTTTAAAAACAAATGCGTAGAGTTAAACATGAACAGTAAAATTACACTAATTTGTTGAGTTGTATATTTTTAACTGTCCAATTCAATTAGGAATTGTATTATTAACATGGGAATTGTAATATTCAATTGAGAATTGTACAATTCAAATGTAAACTGTAAAATTCAGTCGTGTAAATTTCAATTGGGATTTGTACAATTCAATTGCAATGGTAAAATTCCATATTAGAATGAAAATTGCCATTGTGTAGTTTACAAAGTAACTAGAAAATGCAAATTGCAATTGTTAAGTGTCAAACTCAAATGCGATCTTGAACAGTACAGAAAACTTTATACAGTACTAGTTTGGTAACCCAGCTTTGCCTGGAATATATTTTATCCTACGCCTCTTCAGTAACAACCAGGGACGTAGTCAGGAATTTTTCTTCAGGGGGGGACATACATTTCACTAGAAGGATGTTTCATCTGGCGTACCGTCCCGCGCGTTCTGCCTTATTATAGTCTAAGTGTGTACTGTACAGCTTGCTCTTTCTTCTTGAAAATCGGCCCGGTACTCAAAATGAACCAGGGGAGATGTCTTTCAAGGGAGGGGGGGGGGCCTGATGCGCATTGGGGCCCAAAAACCCTCCTCTAAACCCCCCCCCCCCTAAATACTAAGGTTGCACTGAATGTTTTATCATATATTCAGAGATAGAGGAGAATACAGATGTACAGCAAGTCGTTCCAGTACAGGGTACAGCAGATATTCAGATACAGTCTATATGGTGGTAGATTTCTATCCTCCAGGTATAGGGTTAACCACAAAGAATGAGACTGTAAAAACGACTGGAAACTCTTCAAATAAAGTGTGTTAATAAAAAACCTCACAAGATGCCGATAAAACAAAAAAATACTGACAAAAAAAAGATGGCAAAAAAATCTTAAGAACAGGATCGATCCTATAAAGACTAAACACCAGAACCCACTTGAATAGACAGATCAAGGCTTTTATCCAAAATAGTGATTTAGCTAGGGATGGAGATATTTTAAAAAATGACTATTTTCTGGTATCAATCCTAGTCGAATACCCATTACACAAACTTCTTAAGCTTGTCATAATTGATACGAAAATAATGAAAATACGACGATCTCAAGTTTAAATCAAGTTTTCTGAATGTGGTCTTTAAACGGCTTATTTAACAATTTAGCAAAACAAAAACAGTTTATATTTGCAGAAACAGAGAGTATAAATTCCGTACAGTCGTCTCTTCAGTCTCATCCTTTGTGGATAACCCTGTGCTATAAATATTTTTCCTCCATGTACAGGGTTACACACAAAGTATGAGATTTTAATACCGATCATAAACTCGTTAATTGTTACAATTTAAAGGGACTGTAAACGATAAAGCATGTTATGTTCCATTCACAACGATATCTTTAAAATCTTTGTCTAATCAAGTAATATTGTTTTCCTTTGTGTTTTTCTTCAAAAGTTACTTGCGCATATTTTGCTTCTAAAACTGTAGGGGAATTATCAAAATTAAACACTTTTCAAGCTAGTTGAAAAATAACGTTGTTTTTCACATTGTTGATCATATAAAATGTGAGAGTGTTATTGTAAATCGGGTATATGGCCCTTATTTAATTGAAGGGTCACTTCAAATTCTAACAACAGTCTCTTTAAAGGTTTATTTTATTTGTTTTTGTTTTTTGTTAAATTTAAAATTTTATTTTTTTGTTTTCAAAAATAGTATTAAATATGTTTCTAAATGCTTGAGTAAACAAAGTAACAAAATGAAAGTTCCAGCTAAATAAATTCCGTACAGTCGTCTCTGAAATATCATCCTTTGTTTAAATTGCAATGAAACGTCGCATGTTGCGGAATGTTATTATTTGTGAGTGTTTATCCAAAAATGTCCCCTGAAAATTTGTATAATGATGAATCAGTAATAATCGTTTCAAGTTCCAACTTTTGTTGTTGTTTTTATCATTCATCAATATATTCAACAGAAGTATTTTTGTTATATTTATTATCGCTTATATAATGTATTCACAGTAACACCCTTACTATTTATTATTATTATAATTGTTATTATTGACAAGATTTTTATTTTACTTCTAGGATATGGACCAGGATACAGTGATTACTCTAGATACAATAATTATGATTCTCATTTTTCACGAGATAGTTACTATCCTAACTACAGGTATTGGTACAGGGGATACAATATTGGGTGTCCCACGAAACATGAAGATTTAGAGATGACTTGAATATTGTCTTTGATTTTTGTAACACCTAGCGGTATTCACGCGTCAACCTAATTTTAATCAAAAAATACCCCTAGTGTAGTATTAATCAATGCAGCAAATTGCAAACATCAACGACGACCTTTAAGTCGGCTCAGCTACAATTTGCCTAGTCACATTTTGCCTAGTCACATTTTGCCTAGTCACATTTTGCCTAGGTAACAGTTTGCCTAGGTAACATTTTGCCTAGTAACATTTTGCCTAGGGTAACATTTTGCCTAGGTAACAGTTTGCCTAGGTAACATTTTGCCTAGTAACATTTTGCCTAGGGTAACATTTTGCCTAGAGTAACAAAAGAGCGAATTTTTTGCCTAGTCAATAATTTTTTCACAAAGAAATTTTCATCTTTCAACTGTTAAGGTTTGTGGGACACCCTGGACAGGGTGATCTGATTTCGAGATCGCCTTGTAAATGATTTGTGTTTGTTTTAAATAAATACAAATACATAATATTGCTTAAATGTCGTCTTTCTTCTCCAAAGTTTTATGGATTCCTGCACAATCCCACTTTTCTTACAGAGCAGTCTTGAAATTAAAGAAAGAAGTTTTAGATTCATTAAATAAAAGTTTTTCTTTCCTAAAGGATTGCTGAATAATAAAGCTGGGAATTTATCATTTATAAAAAACTTTAAAGTAGTTTGGAGAAAAAAAAGAAATAAAAACATAGCTAAAAACTTTAAACTTATCCCGGCCCCCCCCCCCCCTCCCTGTTAAAACGACTTCCACTAGAACGAATGGGGTAGGGTGGAAGACGGTTAAAAGACCGGTCAGTGTTTAAAAATTAAAGATCAAAAATTGTGTATAACCTTTTTTATTTTTGTACATTGTAAATTTTACATGGTTGAAAAGCTCTTGAAAGATGAAAAAACATTTGTCACATTGTGATATTTGTCAAGAATGAAAAAAAATTATTATTGTTTACATTTTACAGTGTTGGGAGGAGTGCCCCCCCCCCCACAAATTAGACAAAAATGGCCCAACCTGGAAAGGGTTAAACCATCCAAGCGTGGAAATCCAATGAATAGGAATGTCCAAAAAAAGATTTAAAGACAAATCAACCAATACAATAAAGGAAACCGATTCAAAATAAATCCATCTTGACAGAAAACTTTCCACACATTATAAATTTACCAGGTGTTCTTTTTATTTATAATTTCTAAATAGTTAAACTCTGAAAAGTTGAGGTTAATATCTTATTTAATGTTTGTTGCTAGGGGAGGGGGGGAGGGTTACACCTAGAATAAACTCCTTGATTAATGTAATACTATAACACTGTACAGGGTGTCCCACAAAGCATGTTAAAATGTTTTGTTTTCATCACGTCAAGTTGGTTTGTTTAGTCAATATGTTCTTTTAGGGGAAAAATAGTGAAAGAAATTTTTTTTTTAAATTGTTTTTTCTAGGCATTTGGTTTTCTTCCACTATGCCAAATTTTGAACCTGAGAGAATATAAAGGCAAAAAAAGAATCCAAAAACTAATGTGTTATAAATAGCAACATTTTTGGAAAAGTTTTTTCCATTTTTGGGGATAAAGATATTGAAAAGTTTATAAAAAGAAAACTTTACACCTTTATAGAATCAACAACGAGGAAGATATCGTCGTTTTTCTGTTTGAAATCCATTACAATTCATTCCTTGTCTCTGAAGCATGAATGTGCAAGATTTTTTTAGAGTCTTAATTGAAATGAATCCATTACAGAAAGAAAAACAGGGATAGCTCAAAAAATGATTTAAGGACAGCATTGTGAATCGGACATGCCACTCTTTAATTGAAGATCACTTGAAACTACTTTAAATTAATTTTGGAATTAGGAAATGTGGTCCTGTGGTCCGGCCTTCTTATAAATTCAAAAATGGCAAAAATACATGGATTTAATTTTGTCAGATTTTAATTAATAAGTAAAACCAAAACTTTCAAATTCTCCAGATTGAAATTTAACACTGAATGCAGGGGACAAGGGTTATAGTCCAAATGGACACACAATTAAAGGATTGGGTTTGTACGATCCCGTTCTATAAACAGAGTAAAAGTTTATAACAAAGCAACATTTTATAAAGCATGACGAGGACAACAATTGCCAATTTAAAATCATTATTTAAAGAACACTGTAGTGTAGAAGTTGACCTTCCATAGTTGTTTATTTTGGCGCCATTTTTATTATTGTTTTGTTTCTAGGAGTCTTCTTCTAACTGCAACCAAGGAGAAAATAGTTTCCGAAGATGAACATGAAAAAGATATTGAGAAAACTAGAAAATAAAGAAAATAATGAAAAATGAATCCTCTACAATTCTCTCATAATACTTGCACTTATACTTTCAACAAATAAAATTATTCTAAATTTTGTTGTATTTGAATAGTCAGTGGCCGAATTTAAAGAATTTGAGCGGCGGTTTAAATTTAAGCCGCGGTTTAAATATGGTTGGTTCCACTTAAAATTGTATCAAATGTTTCAAGATTTAAGCCGGCGCTGAATTTAAACCGGGGTTTGGCGGATTTAAACCGCGGCTCAAATTCTTTAAATTCCATCTCAGGACTCAGGATGGATTAGAAATTGTATTCAAAAGTTTCGATTAATATAAGGGTAAATGTACCACACACAGAAATGTATACAGATTGCTAATAAGCTTTCATGGGCTGGGTTAATTTGACCTTTAGTACTGGCTCGACATTCTTACATTCTTACAAAAGGTTCTAGACTGTCATCTCGCCGCAACTTGTTGCGTATAATACCCATTCACGGGGTTAAGTTTTACAATTTCTAAAGAAATATCTAACTTTTAACAAAAAACATCTTTATGGATTCTATTTTCGAAGGTTTTGTATTTTGTATCCAAAGGATCCTTAAATATCCCTGAATATAGATGTCTGCTTATTGGTCGTGTACTCCAGTTGTACATCGTGGAACCTGCTTCAGAAAATATCGCCTATTTTAGACTTTAATAGATCTCTGTACTCTCTTATCTCTGGTACCACATTAATCCCACTTTATGGGGATGATTCAGTGTGTGTACAATCCCGGTTTTCCACGTGTATGAATGTATACTGTGCACACCTTGCTTTACTTGCCCAAAATTTGGCTCAGTACTTCAAATAAACCTGAGTTTCAGTAGTAAGTACAGTGAAACCCTTAATAACGAATACTTCGAAAGAATTCATCAAATGTCGTATTCTTCACTTTCTGATAATGGAATGTTGCAGTTATTTAGTTTTTTAATGATTATATGAAACTCTTTAAAACTGTTCCCGCATATTCATGTCTGTTTATTTATTTTCGCAAATACTGAAATTTACGTAATGTAGTATAAAACTAATTGAAAAATTGTCAAGACGACATTTGATAAATTCTTTCGATGTATTCGTTATTAAGGGTTTCACTGTATGATACATATAACCAGCTAAACCATAACACATACATTTAATAAAGATATTTAAATAATATCCAGGGTTACCCACAAAGAATACCACTTTACTGACAACCATAAGTATGTTGATATACAGGGTAACCGCACAAAAAGAGACTTCAGATACGACTGCGCTGAATTTACCTTTTTTATTTATATTTCGCTGCAGCTGTGTACATACTTGTTTCTTTGTTTGCTAAACTCAATTGAAAATTGATAAAGACACATTCGACTGTTAAGGGAGCAGGGCAAGCTGTACAGTACACATACTGTCTATGTAGACAAAACGGGACGGTACGCCAAATGAATTAGTTCCTTGTGGGGAAAATATAGTGAAGAAGTTATGATTAAGATTTAAATCTTATATGCATTCTACTTAAGTTTAGAGTGGCTGGTGTTAAGCAAAATAGTCGTCTCTGTTTTTTCTTTTAATTAAAAAACCAA